TTTTTTTTTGGTTTTTTTTTTTTGGTTTTTTTCGAGACAGGGTTTCTTTGTGTAGCCCTGGCTGTCCTGGAACTCACTCTGTAGACCAGGCTGGCCTCGAACTCAGAAATCCGCCTGCCTCTGCCTCCCGAGTGCTGGGATTAAAGGTGTGCGCCACCACCGCCCGGCTTCCTATGGTTTTCTAGCCCTAGAAATACTGTTGAGGTTTGATCTTTTGGTACATAGTATAATGATAAATATTGCGTCCACCCCCCCCCCCCAGGGCCTGGTTGCTCCCAGGAACAGGAGACTCCATATATACAACGTAACCTTGCTCCTTCATTTAAAACTATTGGTTAAATAAAGATGCTGGCAGCTAATAGCTTGGGGTTCCTGGGCTTGGGGTCTGAAGAAACCACAAGGAGAGGAAGAAAGGTGGGGAGAGAAACAGACATCATGGGGTAAGAATCTTGAAATCATGGCCATGAGGGCTACCCAACTGGAATTAAGAGCAGCCAGCCCAGATGGACCATACTAAATAATAACTCGGGGTTATCGATAGCAAAGAAGATTTGAATAGCACAGAGGGTAGATATCCGCCCAGCTTTAGTGCTGATAAATTGTAAGTTCAGTGAGATCTTTTTCCTGGGAGTTGAATCATCAAAGGCGGGGTAGAAGCCTCTGATTGAGATGAAATATTTTCTACGATAGAATACTGACTTTCCCAAAGTGATGACCTCTGTGCTGATCTAGCTGTCTTTGCAGCATGTTTATATCTTGCTAATTACTGTTTTCCATTTTCCATTTTGCAGTAATACCGTGACTCGCTTGAGGAAGTCAGAGGACAGTTTTGCAGTGCTTGTTTCTCTCCTTCTGCTACCTAGACTCTGGCGACTGAACACAGGGCAACAGCCTCAGCTATAAGTATCCTCCTAAGCTGACCCACCTGGTTGGTCTCTTAATTCTTAATATTAAATCCTTTCGGTTGTGAGTTCTTGCCCACGGAACACACAAGGAGGTTTTCATAACAATGCAAATAAGTTCTACTGTTTGTTGTTACTGGCAAACCACCTGAGGAGATAAAAGTGTTTGCTCAAAGAAATCGTATTTATTCTACACTTCAAAGACCAACTCTTGTAAAACATCATCCATATCCCTGAATGGTTTGTTGTTATAATAAAATTTTTTTGCCTGTGTAATAATTTTATGTGGATTGTTATGTGGCTTTTCTTTGATGAACCATAATGTTTTACTGAGTCGTAATTTTATTCCATGCATATTACAGGACAATGTAGTAAAACCAATAACTTTTTATTCTTTAAAATATTCGGACTCGCCGGGCGGTGGTGGCACACGCCTTTAATTCCAACACTTGGGAGGCAGAGGCAGGCAGATTTCTGAGTTTGAGAGTTCGAGGCTAACCTGGTCTACAGACTGAGTTCCAGGACAGCCAGGGCTACACAGAGAAACCCTGACTCGAAAAACCAAAAAAAAAAAAAAAAATCAGACTCTTTATTATAATAAAACACAGATGTCTACCAACTTTTGATTGGTTTCTTTTTGGGTGTGTTACTGGTTTTGACTGTGAGCATCTTTTATATATTATTGATTTGGGTCTCCTATAGGTTGTGTATGCTGTACCTCAAGAGAAGCATGCTAAGGATAAATGGTATCCCTTTTGAGCAAAGCTCCTCCCAGAGCCAGAAGGGGAACCGGGAAAAACTGGGGCAAGAAGAAATGATAAGAAAAAAAAAAGAGGCGAAATACAAAATGAGTCTTTATTGCTGGTCAGACCACTCAGGGAATCCTAGCAATTCGAAGGTGCATACTAGCATGGGCCTCCGGAGGAGGTACTGGTAACGTTTTCTTGGCTGCCCGTCCCAGGATGCTCAGGATGAGGCTATGAGCCTCCTGACACAGCTCAGCACCCAAGAATGCCTCCACTCTCTCTCGCCATGCCGTCAGTTGAGGCCGTCCCTCAAACAGATTATAGCCAAGAGCCACCGGCTGTAGGGATGAAGATGTGAAAGTCGGAGAGATACTGAGGGTCCCATTGCAGGCAACTCTGCACAAGCATCATGGACACAGCCCCATAGGCGGTCTGGGGCACTGTGACCAGATCCGGGACCTGACAGCAGCCAGAAGCTGTTGCCTCCCACGCCCTGACCCCCCCCCCCACCTAGACAGGAAACAAGTCACACAAAGTTCTCTTCTGTGGTTCTGGCTTTTCCCAGACCACGGTGCTCCTGACTTATGGCAGTGGCAAGGAGAGTCCCACCATAAGCTACTCTACGCGCTGGTCTCATACCTGCATCAACTCCTCCAGAAACATGAGATCCGCTAGCGTCACCTGCTGGCCAGTAAGGAAGGCCCTGTCCCTGAGGAACTTGTCCTCCAGACGTTGCAGAGCCAGGGCCATACTATTTCTGTTCCGTTCCACCTTCTCCTCGGGAACCTGGACCCCAATGAGCGGCCCCAACACCTGGTAGAACAACAGATGTGCTCAGTGTATAAGCCTGACTCTTACCAGGTGCCCCAGGTTCAGGCCCTCCCCCGAGGACTCCGGATACCTTGGTCCACAGGAGCACTCCAAAGGTGCCACGGATGTTGTCGGCATGCCAGCCCAGGTATTCGTGGACTTGGGCACGGGCCTGTAGGTCGGCCGGGTACCAGTGGTCTGCCACCTGGTACTTGGAGCTCAGGTAAATCAAGATGGCTGTGCTGGGAACCATAAGAAGAGAGTCTATAAGGACCATGGGAAGAGGGGATTTGAGGACCTTGGATGTTTCCCACTCCTTGGCGGGGGGCCTTAAGAATTCTCACATTTGAAATAATTTCTCTGGTCTCACTCACCACCTATCCCTAGCTCTCAATGACTCTTGCCTGTCCCCAGAGCGTTCCTTCTCTGCTGTGCTGTGCATGGAACCCAGAGCAACACACACACACACACACACACACACACACACACACACACACGGGGGGGGGGGTGGGGGAGAGAGAGAGAGAGAGAGAGAGAGAGAGAGAGAGAGAGAGAGA